CCGGGGGAGGGCGGGGGTGGGGCCTCTGGGGCTCTCTCCATTCTCCACGCCCGTCTCTCCGCGCAGGCTGCGACGTCGTGGAGTGGTTGACCCAGAAGTTCCGCGTCTCCGAGGAGGGTGAGGGGCCTACCCTCTGTATCCGGTCTCCCTCTGGCCCTGGGGTCTCTGGGCCAGTGGCCCAGGGCTGGGCTTCCTCTGGGCTCCCAGGCCTCGGGGGCTGCAGAGCGTCCGGGGTGAAGGAAGTCATCCGAAGAGGGAGGCCCCGCTCGGTCTACCCAGGGACATCACCACCCACCCCTCCCCAGAAGCCCTGCACCTGGGCACCCTCCTGGTGCTGCATGGCTACATATACCCGCTGCGCGAGCCCCGAAGCCTGGTGCTCCGGCCGGATGAGACCCCCTACAGATTCCAGGTCAGGCTCTGCTGGGAGCAGGTGGGAGCAGGCAGGACCCTCCCCCCTCACCATTTATCCAGTGCCCGACTGGCAGAGGCTGGGGGGGGGGCGCGGAGCTTGCTGGAATTGGAGCAGCATGTGGTGACGCCATCGTGGGCTGATGGCCCACCACCCCACCCCCAAAGGCCTGGACTGGAAGTACCCCTGTGGTGAGAAGGACCAGGCCAAGGCAGGGAGTGTCAGTTTTTCTGGGGCCACAGCAGGACCCCTATAAGGGGTCACATCTGCAGAGAATTCTGCTGGCTTCCTGGGGGTCCCGAGGCCCCAGCCCTGAAGGACAAGACAGGCCCCTTCTTGCCCGACCACATCGGGGGCCCAGTCCCTTTCTGCCATCAGTGTACCCCTCACCCCAAGTAAGGACTGTGGCTACATCCAGGCCTTGGCAGGCCCTCACCCCTACCTGAAGAGGGGTGTAGGGCGGCCAGAGTCAGGGAGGTGGCCTGAGGCATGAGTTGACCTCAGGCGGAGAGGCTAGGTGGTGGGCAGGCGGGGAGACCTCAGTCACCACCTGGCAGCCCAGGATCCTTCTGAGGGAGTTGTGAGGACAGGTGGCACCTGGGCGGGAAGGTGCAGGGGGTCCTGGACACCCATACCTGCACCACCAGACACCCTACTTCTGGACGAGCACCCTGTGGCCGGCCACTGAGCTGGACTATGGTGAGTGAGGGATGCCCAGGCCTGGTGGCCTCAGGGTGATGCCACAGGGTGGGGGCTGAGCTGGCCCTCTGCAGCCTGCCCCCTGTCCTTCCAGCCATCTACCTGGCCAAGAAGAACATCCGAAAGCATGGGGCCCTGATGGACCATGAGAAGGTGGGACCACTCTCCCCAGCCCTGGGGCTGAGTCTGGTCAAAGGGGCCTAGGCCTCATGCTTAGCCTCACATGCATGAGTGTTCTGAGCCAACCGTGAAGCCCAGTCTAGATCACACGCACAGCCTGCTCTCTGTTGTCTCCCTGTGGAGGTGGGGGTCTCCCTCAGAGCTGGGCATGAGAGGGGCGACTCACTGAAGACTTTACCCCTCAGGAGCACTATGACCAGCTCCACAAGAAGATCAACCACACGTGGGATCTGGTAGTGATGCAGGCGAGAGAACAGCTGCGGTGAGACCCCTGGCCCCCAGCGGGCACTAAAGCCCAGCCTGCTCCAGAAGCCATGCCACGGAGAGGGTGCTGGTCACCATGGGACACTGGACCACCAGCCTGAGGGTGGGGGGAGGTGCAGCGGTGGGTGCTGTATACCCCCAACTCTGCCTACTCCTCCCAGGGCGGCCAAGCAGCGTAGGAAAGGGGACAGGCTGGTCATTGCGTGCCAGGAGCAGACATACTGGCTGGTGAACAGCCCCCCGGTGAGCCCCGTGCGGTGGAGGGCGGTCACTGGCCAGCACTGGGGTCCTCGTGATTCCTTGGAAAGTACTCTCGGGATCTCTCTTTTGGGCCTGTTGAAGGATATGCCTTTGAGGTCCTGGTGGGCACAGGAGGTTTGAGCTTTGAGACTAAGCTGTGCTTCTGCCCTTCAGAACCCAGAGGTCTCCAGGTCAGGACTGAGACCACCCCATCCCCAGACCATAGGAGGACCAGCTTCTCTCTTGGTCTAAGGGAGAGGCACAGGGAAGCCAGATGAGGGATCGAAGGCCCTCAGAAGCAGGCCAAGTGGGGGCCAGCCCCAGCTGCGGTGTGAGGGACTGAGGTCACAGGCCAGGAGCTTCTGGCACCACTCCTCTGGCATCAGGTCTTACACAGAGCTGTGGTCCTGGCAGGTGGTCTGAGGTTTCCCTCCCTGGGGGGCTGTGGAGAGACCCAGAGGACAGGCCAGTCGGGGGTCGGAGCTGGGGGGACAGCTCCTGGCAAGTCAGGGCTCTGCTCCTGAGTCCCTTTGAGCGTCAGTTTCCACATCACAGGGCGAAGCGCTTTAGAATGTAGGGGTCTGTAGAGGTGGAACTTAGCCCTGAGGCGGGGTCTGGCAGGCCCTCAGAGCCGCGCCCTCACCTCATCTCATCCTCGTCAGCCCGGGGCACCCAACGTGCTGGAGCAGGGACCAGAGCGGGGCTCCTGCACCGCCAGCCACGTGCAGACGGTGAGCTCCGGCGCAGGGCCCCCACTCCCCCACTCCCTGTTCCCACCGGTAGCTGCGCAGGCCCCGCCCAC